TTATCTCATAATTACAAGATCTTTATCTCGTAATTATGAGATAAGCTGTCAGATTTTTTTTTCTTTGGTGAATGCAATACGCTTCTGAAAATTAGCCCAAGTTTTTAAATTTAAAAAAGAGCAGAAATGCCTTTCCAGGCCAGTAGGGTGTTAGTGTTGATTACTTTTAGTCTTTAATCTTTTAATCTATAGTTTTAAGATGTTGATTTTTACAGTTTTTTTTTATTTTCAGTGATGTTTTTTTTTAATCAGTGCCTTACTGCAGAAAAGTAGAGTAGATGTTGGATGTCAGAAGCTCTCTAAAGTTTCTCTGCCTCCTGCATTGTGCTGGTTTCTCTCTGCAGCTGCGTCTTGAAGGATCAGCGTTCAGACAAAAAGCATTGATCAAGCATCCATTCAGGCTCGTACCATCGGAGAGTTAAAGCTGCTGGAGCAGGAAATGAACAATGTGAAGCTTACAGAAGCTTTCCCATGGCTCATGTTTCAGCTTTCTAAACTGCAGCCTAACAGAGACTCCTTTATGCAGCGGTTGGGTTTCTCACATATTAGCTGTTTTTTGTTAAAAGCAGGAATGAAACACGGCGTTTGGAGAAGAAGCAGAGCGGAGAGGAGCCGATGTTCAGGTTTGATTGATGCAAACCAAGGGTTTGGAAAAGATTTTAAAATGTTTGTTTCCTTTCACATGTGCAATAAAAATATCTGTAAAAAACTATTCAATGAAAGACTTCGTCCAGTAATTAACTCAGGTTAGGATTAAGTTTAGATCTACGGAAGAGGATTAGGGACACTGAAAAAAAAAAGTTAACTGATTTTTACATTTTATTTCAGTTTAACATGGTATTCTCAGAATTCCGACTTTAATCTTAGAATTCTGACTTTAATCTGAGAATTGTGGATCTTAATGTAGATGGGCCCCATGAAGGAAGAGATGTGGAGCACTCAGCTTCACTGACAGAGATGTGAGTTGTTTGAGGTGGCCAGTGACACATTGGTGGAAAATGACAGAATTAGGCAACTTTTTAGTTGCCAGAGGGGTCGCCTCATTAATGGAGGAGCAGAAGTCATTAAAACAAGAGAGCTAGTTTCTAAAACAGACATGGCTATGGCTCGATGCTAACATGTTTGCTAGCCGTCAGAATTCTGAGATTAAAGTCAGAATTTTAAGAAAAAAGTCAGAATTATACTGTACTCTTTATTTAGAAAAACAAATAAAAATAAATAAAGACATGTGCATGTAGAATAGAATAGAATAGAATAGAATAGAATAGAATAGAATAGATAAATCTGAGTCTAAATCTGCTTTAGTCTAAATTCAACCTAAAGGTCATAATCTGTCCATCTTTCTGCTGCTCTGGATTATCAGCAGCCCCTAATCTGCTCTGGATCCCACTAACATCCACCCCCCCACCCCCTCTCTGAGTGGGCGGAGCTCCTGAACCCTGACACCGGAAACCTCCAGCCTCATTGTGACGTCACTTCTGTTTTGCATAACCATCAGTGTTTTGATTGGAGCTCTGGCGGGATTTTGGCTCCATCTCAGTTTATGCTGCTTTAATCTGAGCAGCTGGACGCTACGTCACTGCCCCCCCCTCCCGCTCCTCCTCCTGCTGCTCCTCCTCCTCCCCACTCGCGTCCATCCTTCAAAGAGGAGCTGCAGGCCGCGGAGGGAAGGACACGCGGAGGAAGGAGGCCGGCATCCATTGTTGTTCTGACTGTTTGTTTCTATTTATCGCTTCAGGCGGCACCGCTGCTTTCATCTTGCTTTGAAGGAGCCGCTTCGACGGTGAAAAAGGTAATTTAGAAATTACATTTCATCTCATTCAGCTTTAGTTTCTGTTTTCGATGCTTCAAAGTGCGAAAACTGGACGATGTGATGAAGGAGGTTCTGCTTTGGAGAGAGGAGCTGATGGAGGGGGGGCTGCAGGCTGGACCGGTTCGGTCCGGTCCGGTCCAGTCCGGTTCGGTCCGGTCCGGCTGGTTCTCTGCTGCCGCCCAGTTTTCCTGCCTTCAGTTTCTTCATTAATGTGAAGCTCCAGCAGGTTCTACCGGACCGGACCGGACCGGGACGCAGGTTCGGTTCGGTCCGGTTCGGTTGTTTGATTTAAAGTTTATAAAAATCCACTTCTCGCCTAAAAAGCGTTTCCAGTTGGTCCCCCCCCCCCACCTGCTGTTAATCTGCATAATCTGTTATTTCTGTTTATTTCTATTAAAATGAAATAAAATGTTTTTCTTCTAATCTGTTTGCAAAGCATTCTGGGAAAAGTCAACCTTCCTCAGAACTCAGATAGAATCTATTTTCATATTTCTATCCGGCTCCTCCAGTGATGCAGAGATGCTGCTTATCATCCCAGTCTGGATTACATAATCTGTGGGTGTGGCTGGCAGGTTTCAGACGTTCCCACGCGGCGTGGAGATTTTCCTCCTAACTTTAACGCCCTGCTCATCCCCACGGCGTGGACGTGGGTCCTCTGTGGGTTCTGATTGGTTGACTGACCTGCAGGGTGGAGGTCTGCATCCATGGGTGGAGGCGGTGTGGGTCAGGGAGCCGCATCAGTTCAACCACCTGCAATAATCCTGAAGAATTAAACCCTCATCTAAAATGTTAGGACTGGTTTAAATCTATATGCTTTGGTTGGTTTGGTTGCTTTGGTTGGTTTGGTTACTTTGGTTGCTTTAGTTGCTTTGGTTGCTTTAGTTACTTTGGTTGCTTTAGTTG